TTAAAGCTGCCATATTTTATAAAGAGTTTCCCATGTCTTTTGTGATTATAAAGCAGGTCTAGGTGCTATATAAATACTGTTATCAAAAATCTCAATCCATGGAGAAATTTTCAGAACTGGTGCCTTTAAAGAGCGGTTAGGACTTCCTTAAGGTTGTGATATCATAACTGTAAAGTCACCGCCCTCAGCCATCCCCTCAGCACTGCCCACCCGGATCCACTGTCTGGGTACTATCCGTTACCTGTGGTTGGCCTTGCCGTGCATCACTTGGAAAACAGTCAGAAGAGGCAACACAAAAAGGCCTTATACCTGCTAGAGCTACAGAGTGAAGCATGAGTACGGAGATGTAAAACTATATTGAGATTTTTCTATATATTATTTATATTATGGAAATCAAAACTACAGATAAAAGTTCGAAAGTATGGGACCTTTAAAGCAAACTGTCAGTAAGACTGCTCTAGAATCAGTTCCAGGTTTGGATTTGTGGTGTTGAGTGGTTCGTTTTGTCCTAAAGGACAGATTTCCGGCCTACATGGAACCTTAGGCAGTCAGAGCCCATTGCTGGAAACTACTACCCCATCAACTCTCGCGCTTTCATCAAGGTGTGTGTGACGTTTTTATCATCCTCTTTTTAGAGGAATTAGAATCTTTTAAACATTAGTTCTAGAAATTATCCAAAGTATAATATTTAAAGTTTTTTTTTTTTAGGAAAACAATGAATCGTGTGGTGTGTGTGTTCGTTTTCAGGATGATGTGGACCAGCTGACTGTGGTGACAGATCGCTCTCAAGGAGGAGGCAGCATCCACAACGGCTCTCTGGAGATCATGGTGTGACACACACACACACACACACACACACACACACACACACACACACACACACACACACACACACACACACACACACACACACACACACACACACACACACACACACACACACACAGCTTGTCCTTGTCAGGTAGTTAAACTGGATCAGACCGAACAACCAGACTGACACACACTCACTATAACAGTGTCTCAGAACACACACACACACACAGACAGTCCTTGTCAGGTAGTTAAACTGGATCAGACCGAACAACCAGACTGACACACACTCACTATAACAGTGTCTCAGAACACACACACACACACATAAAGTGTCTCTCCCTCCTTACTCCTCCCTCTTCTCCCTCAGCTCCACCGCCGGCTGTTGTACGATGATGTCCGTGGCGTTGGCGAGCCTCTCAATGAGACCTCTAACATATTCCCAAAGGGGCTGGTGGTCCGAGGCCGCCTCCTGCTCTCCTTAGACCGCCCACCCAGCGCAGCTGATGCACACCGCCCCCTGGCCCAGGAGGTGGTACTGCAGCCGCTGCTGACGTTCACTGATGGAGACCTGCACCCAAACACTCAACTGGAGGTGAGTGAGGAGGGGCCGTATAATAAATACACTTTGTAGCTGCCATGTCAGGTGCCATCTTCGAGGCCATGTGAAGGATTGGCCTTAACGCAAATAATGTCTGAATGTAAAGTAACCACAAATAAATAAAGATCCATGAAAAAAAAAATCTAATCTTAGATCTAATTATTTAATATTAGAGGAAAGAAAGCAAAGAGCTTTTGTCCTGGGAGATTTTTGTTTCAGAGTCACTTAGAACATTTTCAGACTCTATGATAATCCAAAAAAGGCATGGCAGGAAAGCAAATTATATCCAATGACAAACAAATAATAAATAATCATTTTATTTGCAGTTGCTTTAAACAACATTTGAAGACGGTGTTTCTTTGGGTTTTGAGAAGTTATAATGAGAAACCTTTAACATTTTATAGATTAGACAATTAATCAATGTAAATCAAAATAAGATTAATTTATTGATAATGAAAATAATCGTTAGTTGCAGCCCCATACTACTGCGGCCGGTCTGCTGCCTGTTAAGGTCTTTGTGTTTCTAGCTGTCTCCTGTATGTCCATATTTGCATTTTCTGACATCCGTTCCCATTTCACCAGATCTCAGGAGAATAGTCTGAGCTGATGTTAGTTTTAAACTCTAGTTGTGCTGACATGTTTTCAAAGCCAGTAATAATTAGGGACACATAGTGTTAATGGCAGTAATTAGAGAGGAATGATGCCCTGTAATCAAGATCAATCATAAATGTCAAAGCAACAATGTTTTTACCCAGCAGAATGGTGTGACTGGAGCATGTGTTACAGCGAGTCAGTGGTGCTCATCTGTCTGTGTGTCTGTCTGTAGTTCTCTGGGCTGCAGGCTGCGCTGCCCCCTGCTGTGCACCTGCTCACACTGACGCAGTGGGACAAAGACTCAGTGCTGCTGAGACTGGAGCATCAGTTCCAGAGCTGGGAGAGCAAACTGAACTCACAGCCCGTCACCGTCAACCTGCAGGTCAGACACTGAAACACACTGTGAAATTACAGATATGATGAAGACTAAAGCAGAAATGATCACATTATTACTGAGCAGGTTGATTTGTTTTAGTGCTTCTTCGTGTTGTGTGGACATTTTATAGATAGATAATTTACTATCTAAGTAAAATTCAATGTTGTAGTAAAGTAAATATAAGGTATAATAAAATGTATGTAATTGGTAACCCTGTCTTGCTTTCTGGCCATGTAGAAGTTGTTTTCCACTCTGGAGGTTCTGGGCGTGTCTGAACTAAACCTGTCAGCCAATCAGTGGAAAGACGAGATGACACGTTTTCATTGGACACCAATGACAGGTACAGGACACCTAAACCTATTCATTAGGTTTTACTACATTAGCTCTTGACATGATGAAAGCAGATTTGGGCTGGAGGAAAATGTAATGAGGACGAATTCAATTTAAGACCATTTCATTTAGTTTCTATATGGCTGCTTGTGTTTATACAACATTTAACCTTACAGAATCTTTTCAGTGTGGTGTATTTAAAAAAGGATCCTGATGTTTCTTGCATTGAAGAGGAACTTTTGGTAGCACTAGAAGAAAACTAGGTAACTCTGATTGTTATTCTGGGGATCATTCCCTGTAAGTTGTTGAGATATGTCGTAAACATCACCTTAGCTCCTCCCACAAACTGTAAGTTTGAACCCTGACCTTTAACTTCCTGTTTGAGAAGTGTTACAGTGACCAGAAAAGAGCCTGTACTCCGAAATTAGTTGACAATCACCAAAAATGAACCCTGTGCAGCCAAATGTTGGTGAATTAGTCTCATTCTGTCAGCTCTTTGGCAGGAAGCTGCCGCTGGTTAGCTGCCAGACACTGATGGACCACTTGGCTGGTGGTTGAGGTTCCAGTTCAGTTTGAACAGTAGACTGAAGACTGGAGAGTAAATACAGAAATCCACTGACGCTTTTTAATTCTACAAGGGTGGTAATCACTGCTCCATTACAGTCAACTTAACTGTAAAGACTATTTCCCTGCAGGGACTAATCAAGCAGGCAGTGTGATATAATGAGTCATAAATGCATTGTTATGGTTCATAGTTTTAATAGTAAACTGTAAGCTGTTTTAGTGGCTCAACAACTTTTTTTTTTTTAAGCGGAGATGGAATTAATTTATCACTTTACTGTCGCCATAGGCAACTTAACATACATTTGATTGTCTTTAGTGTCTTTGACCCTTTTACTGCTGGTTCATGACTGATGATGTGGGAACTGAAGAACAATTGGTTTTTGAACTCGCTATTAAATATGATGAATGCATAACATATTGGTAGAAATTTAGTCTTTTTTTTTTTTCACCTATTCATATTTTTTACTTTTTCAGAGGAGAGGCCCCTGCTGAAGATGTTCGAGGACCCCTCCATATGGGAGGTGACCTTGAGGCCAATGGAGATCCGAACCTTCCTGCTGAGAGTCAGCCTGAGATAGCCAATCACACGCCTCAGGTTTTTTTTTTTTCTTACAAAAAGTTACAGATGAATTAGCAATGCAGTATCAATCAAATCTCCTGTGGCCTCTCGCTTGTGTTTGATTCCATCAGGCGAGGACAGTTTTACACCAATTACAAAATGTAAGGATTAAAAGGGTTTCTGTTTACAAAGAACGACAGGCTGGTGTTCCACAGGCGAATGCAGGGATAGACAACACTGCCCATGACACACAAATCCTGTTTTTTGAGATGATTACTACTTAGTGACACTGAATGTCTGAACATGTCCCTCCTTTGAGACATCCTGTACAGTATGTACAGAACTTGCTGAAGCTGCCTTTTTATACTGCAGACACATCAATACCAAATCACCCAAAAACTGACTTTTTCACACATTTTAAGTAGATTCTTTCAGCAAATGCAAATCACACAAATCCTTAAATGACAAAACTGGTTGTTCCGACTGCCTGACATGTACAGTTAACCTTTGTATTTCTGCCATTATGTGTATATAGTTTGAAAATTTTATACTGATCGACAAACAGCTGATAATAAAGTATATTATTCTTACTTTGTGTTACCTTGCACGTTACTGTTACAGCCACATATCCACAGACATACTGATGCCTGTTTTCTCTTAACATATTATCTGTGTTGCACCGCCGTCAAAGACCCTTCAAATACAATTAAAGTTACGATTGCTACCTGCACTGTTTTGTGGAATACATTTACAGCAATTAAAAACCTTTTTTGAAGATCATTTTGGGGATTTTTATGCCTGTGTTTGATAGGACAGGTGAAAAATAGACGAGAGGGGGGACAACATGCAGCAAAGGGCCGCAGGTTGGAATCCGCTGCAGTAAGGACTCTACATGGTGAACTACCATGTGCCCCAAAGACAGAATTCTTCTGCTGCCTCTTAAAGTTAAATGCATGCTAGGGTACATTTGGATGCAGCTCTTAGTCAGCTTCGCAACTTAAAATAAGAATTGAAACAGTGAGTCAGTGACCTTTTAAGCTACCAAAGCTTAAATGTCTGTATTTTAGACAAAGTTTTGATAAGACTGACACACAGTCACAGTAACATGCCGTGGTGGTTAAACCCAACACCCACCCACACCATGTGTAAAAAGACAGCAGTGTGAG